ACCAAAAACCCTGACCAAAAAATTCATAATTCCTGTTCATTCTGGCCCCATAATCTGATGGAAGTAAGAACAACCTGAATGCTAAAATGGGAATCTTGAAGCCGGATTTTTCTCTTGGGTCAAAGGAGTCATGTTGGACAGCGTGCCCGCTAAAAACACAACTGGCTGCTCACTCCGGCGAGCTGGCAGAGCCCTACTGCTGGCAGTTTACACCGTTGCGGAAGAGCTGGCCCGTTTACACCGGCGGAAGAGCTGGCCCAGCCCACGAGTTACAACTTCTGCTTAAATTAAAAAAAAGTTAAAAAACTGATGCCAAATGTGGAAAAGTCTTCCCAGCAGATCTAAAGTAACGTAAGGTGACAGTTACCATCAGCACTGAACCCAGAGTAATTATGAACTGGCCCTCCTACGATGTCTCACTCGTGAGGATCTCTGATCTTTTGAGATCTTCAGCAGAACAGCACGGGGAAATAATGATCCGTGGGGGAAAAGGGTAAAGTCTCAGTTCCCGACCGGTGCTGTCAGGTGCAGCCACGTTTTGCGTTGGCTGAAGCGCAGAGGGGAGTCCTCTGCTGGCTGACAAGCTCCTACGGGATTAATCCGACACGGATGACAGAGGGGATTTTCTGCGTGGTCGCTTCCAGCTCCAGGAAGCTGTACCCTCATCTATAGGGCTTTTTCCGTGTCTTTGGGAACAAACGGAAAACCCAGACAAAATCAACAGGGAACTCTTCAGTAAGGGAGCAGGTCACTGCTTGAAGCAGCCCTGAAGTGCTCTCCTCCAGCCCAAAGCCTGGCCTTTTCCGTGTCCTTCCTGTTCCACCCGAGGGGGGCAGACCCGCAGCCTCCCCTCCTGCACCCCCAAAACCTTCAGCCACGCAGCACTCTGCTCCGCGGCACCTGCGCTGCGGCACAGCGCCGAGATTCGGGGCTTTTAACCTTTCTGCGCTTCCCTGTGCTCCTTTTCTCCGAGTGCAGGCTGCAAGCGTGGCAGCACAAACCTGCTCCCCCCGGAACAACTCCAGCAGGAGGAAGGAAGAGGCTCAGGAAGGGAGATGGGGCTCTAAGCCCCTTCCCACCTTTTCTTTTTCTTTCTGAATTAGCGTTTGCAGCTCTTCAGTCCAGTCCAGCAGCTCCACCAGCTTCTCAACCCCACTGACCACGTCCCCCAGCTGGGCGACGTCATTGCAGCGCTGCCAGGCGAAGGGTCCGACGAGGTCTCGGTTGATCAGCACTCGGGGAACGGAGCTGCGCACGGCTCCTGCCAGGCTGGCAAAGGGCTCCACCTAAAGCATGGCAACCCGAAGGGGCAGAGAGAGAGCGTCACCCGGCGGAGGGGCACCGTGGGCGGGAATTCACTGCGTGCTAAGCTTGTAACTGCCATGTTTAACAGCTCTCCCGCTGTGGGCTGAGCTACCCCAGTGCTGACCAGGTTCTGGGTGTCACCAGTTAGCCAGTAGCCTTTTCTCGGGTGGCTGCAAAGCTCATCTCTTGCTCTCCAGGTGCCCACCTTTCCCAGGAGCACACGAGGTTTTCAGAGGGTCTCTGAGTGCATGCACCCTGTTCCTTACCCTGCCACCTCAAATTTCACCTCGATAACCCAGTTTCTCGCCTTATCCTCTAAACCCTCTCTCTCCTCCAGAGTCCCCTCCGGCCCCGTTTTCCATGTGCCTTTGTCTCCTTGTGAGCGGGGGTTTCTTTTAGTCCCAGACCTCCAAGGACGTTCCGATGACAAAAAGCAGGTCTGCCATGGGGAAGTCCGTCACGTGCAGGAGGAAGCGCTGCGGGAGCTCCTCGCCAAAGAACACAATGTCAGGCTTGACGACTCCGGTGCAGATGGGACAACGAGGGACCTTGTCTGCCATGACGTCCCCCTGCAGCGAGACCACCCAACAGCGCTTGGTACAGGGCACTGCACACCCGCACGCGCAGGGTCAGAACCACAACGCATCCCCACGGCAGCATCCAGCCCCGAGTCTCCAATAAAAGCTCTTGGCCCCGAGGGCAAAACAACTGGCCTGCAACAGGGTCTCCTCCTTGCCTTGATTCGTCTGTCGATGCCCAACTGCGACCACTCACCCTGAAGTCCTCTCCTGGGAACTTCCTTCGACAGACTGTGCAAGTGGCAGTGGCAAAGGTGCCGTGGGCTTCCACCAGTCTATCGGGAGGGATCCCAGCAACTGGAACACAGCGCGTGGGAGAGGACCAGCTCAGCGTGAGGTGACTGAACCAGAAGCTCCACGTTCACCGGGCGTTTCCCCACTCCTGCCTCCTATTCTGCTTCGCGCCCTCGCCTCCTCCCAGTGCTCTGCTGCTGAGATGGGGAGGAGAACACTCACCTCTCTCCAGCCCGTCGATGTTCTGGGTGTAGAGGCGCAGGAGGAGCCCTTTGTCGTGCAGGAGCCTCAGGAAATAGTGGGCGTAGTTGGGTCTGTAGTTGCCAGGGTAGAGCTCCTTGGCCAAAGTGAAAAAAGGCTTAGGGTTGACAAAGAAATACATCAGTTCAAAGATGGCTTCTGGGTAAGGGATGTTGTACTGCTGGAGGTTACTGTAGAGGCCGCTCCCCGGGGA